AATAGAAAGCATCAACAGTAGACTAGAAGAAGCAGAGTACCGCATCAGTGAGCTAGAAGACAAGGTAGGAAAAAATACCCAAGCAGAGCAGGTTCTAGAAAAAAAATTAAAAAGCAGGAGAGTCTAAGAGAACTTTGGGACAACATGAAAAGAAACAACATCTGCATAATAGGGGTGCCAGAAGGAGAGGAAACTGAGCAATGAATAGAAAACCTGTTTGAAAAAATAATGACAGAAAACTTACCTGATATAGGGAAGAAAAAAGTCACACAAATCCAAGAAGCTCACAGAGTCCCAAACAGAATGAACCCCAAAAGACTGATGCCAAGGCACATTATAATTAAATTGGCAAACACCAACGACAAAGCAAGAATCTTAAAAGCAGCCAGAGAGAGACAGAAAGTTACCTACAAATGATCCCCCATCAGACTAGCGACTGATTTCTCAACAGAAACACATCAGGCAAGAAGGGAATGGAATGAAATATACAAAGTCATGCAAAGGAAGGGTCTGAATCCAAGAATACTGTACCCAGCAAGGCTATCAATCAAAATTGAGGGTCAAATCAGGAGCTTCACAGACAAAAAAGGACTATGGGAGTTTATTACCACCAAACCAGCAATGCAAGAAATGCTAAAGGGTCTGCTGTAAAAAGAAAAAAATAGGAAACAAAGAAGGAACACAGGGGTAAAGAATAAAAATGGCGACAAACAAGTATCTATCAATAATAACTTTAAATGTAAATGGATTAAATGCCCCAATCAAAAGACATAGGGTAACTGAGTGGATAAGAAACCATGACCCATATATCTGGTATCTACAGGAAACCCACCTCAAAAAAAAAAAAAAAAAAAAAAAAAAAAAAAAAGACGCACACAGACTGATGGTGAGGGATGGACAAAGGTTTTTCAGGCTAATGGAAACGAAAAAAAAGCTGGGGTAGCAATACTTATATCTGATAAATTAGATCTCAAAGTGAAGGACATAAAAAGAGATAAGGAAGGCCACTTCATAATACTAAAGGGAGCAATCCAACAGGAAAAAATAACTCTGGTAAACATATATGCACCAAATATAGGAGCACCCAAATACATAAGAAAATTTCTGGAGGAGATCAAGGGAGAGATTGACAGCAATACAATGATAGTAGGGGCCTTTAACACCCAACTATCACCGTTGGACAAATCCTCTAAACAAAAAATCAGCAAAGAAACATCAATCCTAAATGACTCACTAGATCAGATGGAATTAATTGACATCTTCAGAACATTTCACCCCAAAGCCAGAGAATATACATTCTTCTCAAGTGCACATGGGTCATTTTCAAAGATAGACCATATATTGGGTCACAGGCAAAGTCTTTTTAAATTCAAGAAGATAGAAATCATATCAAGCATCTTCTCAGATCACAATGGCATAAAACTGGAAATCAACTACAATAAAAACAATCCAAAAAAATCAAACACATGGAGACTAAATAGCATGCTATTAAACAATGACTGGGTTACCAGAGAGATCAAAGAAGAAATAAAAAAACATCATGGCAACAAATGACAATGAAAACACAACAATCCAAAACCTATGGGATACAGCGAAAACAGTCTTGAGAGGGAAGTTCATAGCTTTACAAGCCTACTGCAAAAAATAAGAAACAATGATAATAAATTACCTAACCCTACAACTCAAAGAGCTAGAAAGAGAGCAACAAGAAAAGCCCAGTGTAAGCAGAAGGAAGGAAATAATAAAGATCAGAGTGGAGATTAATGACATAGAGACCAAAAAAACAATACAAAAGATCAACAAAACCAAGAGCTGGTTCTTTGAAAGGATAAACAAGCTTGATGAACCTCTAGCCAGGCTCACCAAGAAACAAAGAGAGAGGACCCAAATAAACAAAATCAGAAATGAAAGAGGAGAAATAACAACAGACCCCATAGAAATACAAAGGATTGTTAAAAAATACTATGAACAACTCTACTCCAACAAACTAGACAACCTGGAGGAAATGGACATATTCCTAGAAAAATACAACATTCCAAAACTCAATCAGGAAGAATCTAAAAATCTCAATAGGCCAATAACTATGGAAGAAATTGAAGCAGTAATCAAAAAGCTTCCAGCAAACAAAAGCCCGGGGCCAGATGGCTTCACAGGGGAGTTTTACCAAACATTCAAGGAAGAACTAAAACCTATCCTCCTCAGACTACTACAAAAAATTCAAGAGGAAGGAACACTTCTAAGCTCATTCCATGAAGCGAGCATCACTCTAATACCAAAACCAGGTAAAGACAACACAATGAAAGAGAATTACAGGCCAATATCCCTCATGAACATAGATGCCAAAATCCTCAACAAAATCCTAGCAAATCAGATCCAGCAGTACATCAGAAAGATCATACACCATGACCAAGTAGGTTTTATCCTAGGGATGCAAGGATGGTACAATATCCGCAAATCAATAAACGTAATACATCACATAAACAAATTGAAAGATAAAAACCACATAGTCATATCAATTGATGCAGAAAAAGCATTTGACAAAATCCAACACCCATTTTTGATAAAAACTCTCAGCAAGGTAGGAATAGAAAGATCATACCTCAACATAATACAAGGCGTATATGACAAACCCACAGCCAACATCATAATCAATGGGCAAAAACTAAAACCATTTCCCCTTAGAACAGGAACAAGACAGGGATGCCCCCTCTCACCACTCCTGTTCAACATAGTATTGGAAGTACTAGCCGTTGCTATCAGACAAGAAGAAGAAATAAAAGGCATCCAAATTGGAAAAGAAGAAGTAAAACTGTCCTTATTTGCAGATGACATGATACTGTACATAGAGAACCCTAAAGACTCCATCAAAAAATTATTAGACTTGCCAAAACCGGTTTGGCTCAGGGGATAGAGCGTCGGCCTGCGGACTGAGGGGTCCCAGGTTCGATTCCGGTCAAGGGCATGTACCTGGGCTGCGGGCACATCCCCAGTGGGAGATGTGCAGGAGGCGGCTGGTCGATGTTTCTCTCCCATCGATGTTTCTAACTCTCTATCTCTCTCCCTTCCTCTCTGTAAAAAATCAATAAAATATATTTAAAAAAAAATTATTAGACTTAATAAATGAAGTTGGCAATGTAGCAGGATACAAAATTAATGCCAAGAAATCTATGGCATTTCTTTACACCAATAGTGAACCTACAGAAAGTGAGACTGAAAAAGCAATCCCATTTACCATCGCATCAAAAAATTAAGATACCTAGGAATAAACTTAACTAAGGAGGTAAAAGACTTCTATGGGAAAAACTATAGGACACTGAAAAAAGAGATAGAGGAAGACATAAACAGATGAAAGAACATACCATGCTCATGGATTGGTAGAATAAACATCATCAAAATGTCCATACTACCCAAAGCAATCTATAGATTCAATGCAATCCCCATCAAATTACCAATGGCATATTTCACAGATCTAGAACGAATGTTCCAAAAATTCATCTAGAATTAAAAAAGACCTCGAATAGCTGCAGCAATCCTGAGAAAGAAGAACAAAGTAGGTGGGATCTCAATACAGATATCAAGCTGTATTACAAATCCACTGTTCTTAAAACAACTTGGTACTGGCACAAGAACAGACATATAGATCAATGGAATAGAATAGAGATCCCAGAAATCGACCCAAACCACTATGCCCAATTAATATTCGACAAAGGAGGCAAGAGCATACAATGGAGTCAAGACAGTCTCTTCAATAAATAGTGTTGGGAAAACTGGACAGATACATGCAAAAAGATGAAACTAGACCACCAACTCACACCATACACAAAAATAAACTCAAAATGGATAAAAGACTTAAATGTAAGATGGGAAACCATAAAAATACTAGAGGAATCCACAGGCAGCGAAATTGCAAACATATGCCGAAGGAATTTCTTCTCTGATACTGATCCTAGGGCAATGGAAACTAAAGAGAAAATAAACAAATGGGACTACATCAAAATAAAAAGCTTTTGCACAGCAAAGGAAACCATCAACAAAACAACAAGAAGACCCACTACATGGGAGAACATATTTGCCAATGATATCACCAATAAGGGTTTAATCTCCAACATTTACAGGGAACTCATGAAACTTAACAATAGGAAGATAAACAATCCAATCAAAAAAATGGGCAATGGACTTAGATAGACACTTTTCGAAAGAGGACATATGGAAGGCCAAAAGACATATGAAAACATGCTCAAAGTCACTAATTATATGAGAGATGCTCATCAAAACAACAATGCAGTATCATCTCACGCCTGTCAGAATGGCTATCATCAACAAACAACAAGTGTTGGAGAGGATGTGGAGAAAAAGGAACCCTTCTGCACTGCTGGTGGGAATGCAGACTGGTGCAGCCACTGTGGAGAACAGTATGGAGTTTCCTCAAAAAGTTAAAAATGGAACTCCCATTTGACCCAATGATCCCACTTCTAGGAATATATCCCAAGAAACCAGAAACACCAATCAGAAAGGATATATGCACCCCTATGTTCATAGCAGCACAATTCACCATAGCTAAGATTTGGAAACAGCCTAAGTGCCCATCAGCAGATGAGTGGATTAGAAAACTGTGGTACATCTACACAGTGGAATACTATGCTGCGGTGAAAAAGAAGGAACTCTTGCCATTTGCAACAGCATGGATGGAACTGGAGAGCATTATGCTAAGTGAAATAAGCCAGTCAGAGAAAGATAAATACCACATGATCTCACTCACTTGTGGAATATAGAGAACAACAGACTGATGAACAGGGACAGAGCCAAAGACAGAGAAACAGTGATCAGACTATCAATCTCCAGAAGGAAAGTAGGGGAGGGTGGGAGTAAGGGGAAGAGATCAACCAAAGGACTTGTATGCATGCATATAAGCCAAACCAATGGACAATAGGGGGATGAAAGCATGAGTATGGGGGGGAGAGGTTGGGGGTTCATTGGGGGGAGATGAGGACACACTTGTAATACCTTAACCAATAAAGAAATTAAAGATAAAAAAAAAATAAACTTCATTTTACTGCTCAACCAACTGACAGAAAGAGCTCCTTAATCCTTTCCCTTGCTCCTCAAAAGCCACGGTAAATTCACTAATGACATGGACTGGTATGATTTCAGAACAACTGTAAGTGTACAACCTAGATGTCCTTTTCCATTCTCTCTAAGGATATTAGCAATATATATATAATGATAAACATGTTATACAATATAATATAGAGAATATAAGTAACTAGTAGTTAATTATATTCATGAATGTCTGTAACAAACTGAGATTACTTCCCTAACATAAGAGCCTGGGGAAAGTGAGACTATCACAGCTTTCCTGAGAGCTCAGCCATTTCAGTGTTGGTTTAGCCCACCTATCGCTCCCACTATCCAATCCTGTCTTCTTGGGAACCTGACCTCCCGATTGGCTCTCTCATCCCTTTAAACTGCCTGCTTTGTGACATCATTCTCCCACCAAACCTACCACCACCTGGTAGAATCTTGGGGTGCCCATGGAGTTGTCCGTAAATAAATTTGGATCATTGCAACTGACCAGTGATCAGTAGCTGGTGACCAGTGACCAGTGGCCAGTATGACCAGTGACTTTCGTACTGGACACATGTGCTCTTTGGCTTCAGCAACTGAGACATCTTCATTCCTCGCATCTACAGTTGATATCTGCTCTTCTTCTCTGACCATGTCAGAAGTTCCTGACATTCCTCAGGTGCTGGCCTGCACTGATCCCCTTGACCAAGAGGAGCAGCCTGGTTGTGACAACTGTGGTTTGGGAAAGAATAGCCTGAGCCTTAACAACCAAGGGACACTTGAAAATGGGACTGAATCTAATGACAGTTTTGCAGACATCGCTACACTGGTGAAAGGTATTCACCTTCCACAGGTCTTAACTTCCTTGGATCATCTTGATCAGCTCCAAGGACCAAAGGTGTTCAAAACCAAAGACACCAGGGGCCTCAGGTTGCACGTAGTGCAGAAAAAGTCAAGTGTCAGAAAGACTCGCACTGATCAAGGCTCGAAGAACAAACATAAAGCCTCTGAGCCTATCGCTGATGCTCCCAAGGCCAAGATCAAGCCCAAGAGCCCAGATTGTGTGTTTGTGAGAGAAGTGGTTCTTTGCAATGCTGCAGCCAGTGGCATGGTTCCTGCAAACATGGCCAAGCATTCTAACAGCAAACCTCAGAAAGCTGCAGCCAGCAGGACCAGCAAAACTAAGAGCCATGGGCTGGAAAAAAACAAAAGAAACAAAGAAAACTACTCCAAGAGAGCTGAGGAGAGGAAGCAGTCAGGGAACAAAGTCAAGGCATGCCGGAAGCCGGTCCATCCTTGCTGCTTGGCACAGTCGCTGCAGGGAAGAAACATCTGCACAGCATATGTTTCAAGGGATGTGGCATATATGGCATACTGTTATTAATATGTTTGCTCCCCTTCTTAGTGCTATGTGTTTTAACCAAGGTCACCTCTCTGAGAAAGGTTGTTTCCCCAGGTGATGATTTTTCCCTGGAGTTAGGATTAACAGGACTAAGGAAGAGAATAAATCAGTGAAACTCCCTAGTGTTACAGAAATACCATGTACTACTTATGAAGAACTTAGACTAAGGCTGTTGGCAATAAATTTGGGACTTGTTGGGCCCACATCCCCAGGGATCTGCCCACCAGGGAAAGCACCAAAGCCTATACCCCTGGAGACCCACCAACACAGGGCAGTCCCAGGAAAGGCAAGCAGTGAGGCTGGGAGGACATAACCTTTACTGGGTAGGATAATCTCCTTCAGTCACTTCCTTGTAGTTTATCAGCAGAGCAGTGACCTTGGAATAGCCTTATAATGGAACACAGAGATTAACCTAGACAGGATTAAACTCAACAGAACTAGATTAACCTTTGGAATGGAATGGATAGGATTAAAATCAACTGGTATAAATACAGATGTAACAGGACAATAAAGACAGAACCTGGCTAGAACCTGGCTGGAGAGAACCTGGCTGGAGAGAACCTGGCTGGAGAACCTGGCTGGAGAACCTGGCTAGAACCTGGCTAGAGAACCTGGCTAGGATGCTGATCAACTAAATGCTGTCTCCATGTCATTCCTTCTTTGCTGACTCTGTTCACAGCTTTGGGAATCCCTGGACTTGCAGCCAGTGGCATGGTTCCTGCAAACATGGCCAAGCATTCTAACAGCAATGGACCCCAACAAAGGCAGAGGAGAATCTAGCCATTCCCAAGATGAAGAGAAAGAAAAGTCATCCTGAGCTGCCACAAGAGGCCATCAAAAAGCCTCGCAGCAGCCTCTGTATGCACATGCTGGAGTCTGTGCAGGTTTTCCATGCACTGGGCAAGAAGAGTGATGAGAAAGCTGACCTGTCTTTCTTGCAGGCCCTGGGAAACTCAAGCAACCCCAAAGGCCCCCAGCCAGGCCAGGCTACCAAACTATGGCTGGATACGCCCCATGAGGGCAAAGGTCCTGTGAAAACTCAAGTCAAACCCCAAAAACCACATGGAAGTGCTGACCAAGGGTCTCCACCTCCACCCCAGGACCAGCTGCCTTCTCCCGGGAAGGTCAAGTTGGTGCCATTGGTTTTTCCAACCATGGACAAGCCTCAAGCTCGACCTGTTCCTCGCAGGCCACAGTCTCTGGCATCACATCGGCCTGCTGTGACCAACCCTGCCAAGCCTGCTGCAGTCAACGCATCCCCGCCAACTCCTGCATCTTTGACCTGTCCTGCCAGACCAGCTTGGCTAATGTAGGACCACTCAGCCGCACCACATTTGAACAACCCTGGCCGCCCTAGTGTCTGTCAGCCTCCTACTTCTGGGCCTGGGGCCTACAAAATCTCATCTTGTGCTTCTCCCCAGCGGGAGCCTGTTCAGTCTGCGTTGAGCCAGCCCCAGACCCCGCTCAAGCCTCACAAACACTATCCACTCCAGGATTTCGCCCTCCAACCAATTCCATGGAGGAAACCTGAGGTTCTGGGGCCAGTAATGTCAACACCCATCACCAATGAGCAGAGGCCAGATCGAGAGGCCATGAAGAGGAAGGCTCAACTAGAGCGTGAGAATGCTGCCAAATTGGGGAAAATGCAGCATTTCACTGAGAGGGAAAAAGACATGGGCATTTCTCTGTACTATGGCTATGCAATGTAGGAGATGATGGGAGTGCTGGCGCCCCTTTGGGTACCTGCTGTTTTTCCATAGATAGGTAGATCCATAGATAGATAGGTAGATAATAGATAGATATGAATTTCAGAATACTGATATATTTTATAACTTAATAAAACTGAGTAAATATTATAAATTAGCATTTAGTATTAAAGAAGCATTTTGAGTTTTGAAAAAACAAACAAACAAACAAACAAACAAACAAACAAAAGCTAGCATGCCTGGATACTAATGGTCAATTCTTTGTGTAGATCTTGGGGAATAAAAAAGCTATAATGGAAACTATTGATACAGGCCTGGCCAGGAGTGTCTGTCCACTGCTCACCCAGAAAATGTCTGATCTCTGACTTTACCCAACCATGTGAGGAGTCCCCACTTAGGCGGACGTGCCTTTAATGCACCTTTGCTTTTCTCCTAAGTTAACATTCACCACAATGACTACAATCATGTTAAAGCATTTAAATTTATGAGTAATAACTAATATACTAGTTTTGGTGCCCTGACTGGGAATAGAACTGGTCACCTTTCAGTGCACAGGACCAACCATCTGAGCCACATGGACCAGGGCTATAAATGTTGTTAAGAAGAGATCAACCGAAAGACTTGTATGCATGCATATAAGCATAACCAATGGACGCAAGACACTGGGGGGAGAGGGGGTGGTAGGGGACGCCAAGGGAAGGTCAATGGGGAAAGAAAAGGAGACATATGTACTACTATTTGTAATACTTTAAACAATAAAATAACATTAAAAAAATAACTAATATGCTATAGTATAGCTTAAAATGGTATTTTGTATTCATTATCTCATTTGATCTTCTATGGCCCTCTCAGATGGCTAGGTATTATTATTCTCATTTTATAGGAAATTAAGGCACAGAGAGGGGGAATTGGCTTAGAATCATAGTGTTAGAAATATTAGTGATATCTGGTCACTAGCTTTCTTTTTCAGATGGAAAAGCCAGTTGGAGCAAAGAGACATGCTGAGTTCTCTTTGTAATTGGAGCAGAGCTAACATTCAAGGTGTTTTCTTGCAATTATTTTAAGAAAACTACCTGAAATTCAAGACATTGTCTGTTTGATCCATGACTTAAGTTTGAATTTTTTTGGGGGGAAAAGAGGAGTGTCTGTCTTCCACCCTTTGGGTCAGGATCTGAACCAGAGCCTTCAACATGTGGCCAAGTGGTTGCTTTGAGCCCCTAATTACTAATTTTAAAGCAACATAAAAGACACAGACCCTAAGAGATGGGTTTTAAGTATGGACAGTGGACACTCAGCACAGGTGTGATTGAGGTCCTGGGAGCCTCAGCCACTATAGAGTTCCGGAAGGGCTTCTGTTCCTCATCCCCTACCCTCTAAGCCCACTGCCTCAGCAACCTATACCCCTGTCTGCCAGGAGACTTCCTAGGATTTGGGGGATGGGAGAAGTCCTTGGCTCTGCCCATTCCTACTGCCTCACCCCATTGACCTCCAAGCACCATCCCTCCCCTCTCCAGACCCAGACAGGCTCTCCCATCAGGCCAGGACATGGTGCCAGGCACTGAAGAATAAGAGACTCACTGGAGGGTTCTGCCCTCAAGGAGCTTATGGCTTTGGAAGGGGAGGGAAAGGCAGAGGTACACAAAACCAGCCATGATTCCCCATAGTAAGTTCTCCAATTGAGTTCCCAATAAAATGCCATGGAAATGTGGAGACAAGAGGGGCTGAGGAAGAGGACAATGCCTGTGGGCCCAGAGGGAGGAGTGGCATTTGTGACTGGGGAGAAGGCATTTTAGGCTGTAGGAATATTAAGGGAGCATGAAGAGTGCCATGGTTCATCACAGAAGTGCCTTAGGGTTAGTGTGTGAGGTGTGTGTGTGTGTGTAAAGATGGAGAGATAGACAGGGGTGAGGTTCTAAAGAACTTGTATATCCAACAACTTTGACCTTTTTATTAAAACCGTGGGTCTGAAGGATTTTAAGAATGGGCAGCGTGGTGCCATGAGATGACAGTGTAAGAGTGCTCACTCCAAGGTGGTGGGAGGAGGGATGGGAGTGAGAACAGCCTAGCGGTGGAGAGAACAGGGAAGAGGCTTTCACAATAGTCCAGGCAGGAGATAATAAAGGGCTTGGCGAGGAAGAGATTCTGGGCATGGGAGAGGGAGACAGGTCCCGGGGACATTTTAAAATAATCAAGAGGACAGCCAGAGAGTGAAGTGTCCAAAATGCAGGGGTGTGTTGGAGCTGGCTACGTACATCTTTTCCCAACTCTGCACGTAGGGACATCATGTTGGGAGCTTTAAATCAGCTTTGGGAGAAGTATTAACACCACAGGAAGCAAGAAAGGGTACAAATCAGGACCTTTTCTCTCAAGAGAGCTGGTTTTTAAACATTTCTTAGCACACCATTGCCAGGTTAGAGGACAGGGTCAGATGAAGTGGACTTGGGCAGTCTCAGAGGCATTTGAGATGGGCCTTGGGCAAGAGATGGGTTCGCAGTAGGTGGAGGCAAGGGAAGGCATTTTTGGTGAACTACACAGTGTAAGCAAAGGCCAACTTTCTTCTGGGTATCTCAGCACAGAGCAGGGCACTTAAGAGATGCTTAATGACCATTTGGTGGTTACTGCTAACAGAGTCTTACATTAGATCTTTATGTTGGTAGATCAGATGCAGGACTGAAAGGGTCATTCATTCCTTACAAGTGTGCCAGGAGTTCATCTTTGCACAGAGCTGTCCCTGAATCCAGTTGTAATGGTTAATTAGTCACAACTCTGAAAATTTTCTAGATTATTATTTAGAAAAGAGAATGCTTCATAGACTTTCTCAAGATCACAGCTAGTGAGTAACCTGCATCAGGATCAGAACTTTGGAGTTGGAACTTATAGCTGCAAAACATTTCTTCAAAACTTTTTTTAAAAGTTTAAAAATTGGCTTTAGAATAACAACGAACATTTATTATCTCATAATTTCACATACTAGGAGTCAGGCATTTGGGAGTGACTTAGCTGGGTAGATTTGGCTTGGAATCTGGATTAGTCAGGGTTTTCCAGAGAAACAGAACCGATAGTGTGTATAGAGATGAGTTATTATAAGGAATTGGCTCACATAATTATGGAGGCTGAGAAATTCCACTATCTGCTGTCTGCAGGTTGAAGACCCAGGAGAGCAGGTGGTGTCATCAGTCTGAGTCCAACGGCTCGAGAACCAGGAGAGCCAATGGTGTGAGTCCCAGTCTGAGGGCAAGAGAGACTACGAGATGAGGTGACCCAGCTCAAGCAGCGAGGCCCTCAACAGATTGGTGATGCCCACCCACATGGGGAAGGCAGTCTACTTTACTGAGTCCACAGATTAAAATGTTAATCTCACTCAGAAACATCCTCACAGACAAACCCAGACATGTTTAATCTGGGCACCCATGGCCAGTCAAACTGGCATACAAAATGAAACATCACAGGGTATCTCATGGAATCCCAGTCAAGATGTCAGCTGAGGCTGCAATCATCTGACTGGGGCTGGAGGATCTGCTTCCGTGGGGGCTGACTCTCGGGCTGGGCATTTGTACAGGATGATGGAAGACTTTATTCTTTACCAGGGCACCTTCCGTGGGGCTGCAGGAGCATCTTCACAACATGGCAGCTGGCTTCCTTCTGAGCAAGTGATCCAGAGAGATCCAGCCAGAAGTTCCAACATCTTTTATGACTTAGCTTTAGAAGTCATCGTTATTTCCACAGTATCCTAGTGCTTCCACAAGCAAGTCTTATTCATGTGGGAGAGGATAAGAGGTAGGGATCACGGGGACCATCTTGGATGTTGGCCCCCACAAAACCCAGCAAAGAAAATGAGCTAAAACCATGAGACTCTTGGACTCAGAAGACATGGTTCTGCCATTTGGTAGGTAGGGATCCCATTAAAGGCCCGGATTCCTTATCTATAAAGTGGAACTATAGCTTCTGCCTGGTTTATTGTAATGGGTTGTGATGAGGACCAAACTGCATAGAATAGTACAGATGTGAGTTATGGTGATTACTCCTGTGCCACCTGTGGTTAAAAAAAAAAAAAAAAAGATTAGAGAACCCAAATCCCTGTTTACTAGTGGCTGTTCAGCAAAGCTCAGGTGTCTTAGGCCTCTTGGAGGGTATGGGCTCTAGAATGAGGCTTCCTGGGCTCAAAGCTCAACTCCACGACTCACCAACAGTGGGATCCTGGGTCAGATACTGAATCCCTTAGTGCCTCAATTTTCTCACCTATTCCCATGGAAATGAGGGCATTACCTACTTCACAAGGTGGCTGTGAGAATGAAATTAGCTCATTCAAGTGAAGCATTTAGAACAGTGCCTCCTGATATCTGGTGACTGCTCCATACAAATAACACCTTTGGCTACAGAATGACCACAAAGTCTAGAAACATAGGTATCATTTTATCATACATTAAAAGTCATATCAAAAACCATTTATTATATAGTTGCCTGTGTTTCCAGACTTGGCGGCCAACCTGTATCATGCCCCCTGATCCTGATTGTCCAGGCAGTTTACTCTGTCCCTTAGTTGTGCCTATAATCTGGTTTGCTGATCTGGTATAAGATCCTAATCTCTCATTAGAGAGGAGAAGGCTTTCATTATACTTATTAATGTCAGCTCCGCCTCCAAGCTTCCCCAGATGCGGGGTGCTGTTAACGCTGCTCTCAAGCGTGTTGCTCACCCCAGTGGGGCCTTTTATTACATGGGCACACAGGGTAGAACGGCTGTCCTGTGCTATTAAGTTGGTTTTGCCAACCACAGTGGCCAGCCGCATAATGACATAAAGATACACCTTACCTCAAAGGGGCATCACATGAAAAGGTTTCTGAGCAACCTGTGACAGGGCCCTGGGAAGGGGATGTTCCAGAGAAAGGAGGTTTGGAGTTGCAGAGATGTACCCTATGTTAACATGTCAACATACAAAACTCTGAGCCTAGACACTGGTAGCTTTGATGGTGTTTAACTTATGTTATAAAATGACTCTTTATAA